AGCAGTATATACAATTTTATGAGAATATTAAACCTCCATATAATAAGCATTCAATGCTAAAGATATATTTTGCATATTTATAATTTACTATAGCAGAAACTTAGAGTAATTTAAATGCAGAATCAGTTTTAATACTTGAAGGAATAATCAAATTATCTAACAATTGGTAATAATGTTCCAAACTACTCTAACTTGACATAACAACCTACGATTACCCGCCATTGTAACAACCTAATATTATCTTCAAAATAATTAAAACACTAAAAACTGTGTACACAAAATTCTCAGAATAAGTTTACTTTGAATGTTCTCCTCTGCGTTTAGCTTCAATATAGATTCTCCGTTTCTCTCTCAAAAATTCTTCCATTATTCCAATTTATTACTGAAGCTGAGACGAAGAAGAAGGAAAAACCATTCACAGCCGTCTCCACAACGTGAAACCAAACATTGAAGAGTGAAACAAGACTGAATAGTGAATTACAACCTGGCAACTTCGATAATTAATCTAACGCATATCTCGTAACCACTTCAATTAACAAAATTATCACTCGGAAGAGTCGCGAGACACTTACTTCAGAGGCGATACACTGTCTTCAACCATCGTTGAACCCTCATCTCCTTCAATACCAAAGTGATCTTTAGCTTTTTGCTTCTTCAAGATGATGTCGATGTAACCAGAGATTAATTGAAGGATCTGTTCTGCCTCTGTGGTTTGTACACTGTAATATTGATCAGAGTAATCGCCAAAATCGAGCGTGAACGTGTTGGGAGAGGCTCCCCAACGTCGGACGGTAGTCAATGGCCAGGTTTTCAAGATTTCTTTCGTTTTTTCGTCGAGTCGCAAGACAGAGTCCTTGGTGACGCCGAGCAAACGAGGCACCAACTTGTTTTTCCCCTTCATTTTCTCTTTCACCAAGAAGAACGTGACGCCGTAGGTGCTCAAGGACCTAGCTGTTTTCGTGTACAGCACTTTGGCGTCTAGCTCAGATAGGCCAATGTGTTTCTTGTGCTCCGCGAAGATCTTCTTCTCGATGCCCTTCACTTTCAGATAGGACTGCGGTAGAAACTCCTTGAGACTGAAAGGGAGAGACACAGAGTAGGTGATTAATTTGGAGAAATTTCGGGAAAATTTGGGAAGGTCTTCCAGTTGCTTCCAGAACAAGGGGAATATTGTTGGAGCATCGCATTTTCGAAAGGACTTATTCAAGGTAAACATGTGGGCAGCAAAAAGCTATCGTTGCTTGAAAATTAGGATAATCATTTTGGAAGGAGTGTGCAAAATTCAAGATCGGCGACTTTTCATTGGAAAATGAGTCAAGAGTCGATGAGACGTTTAAAGAAAAATTATTGAAAAAAATCCACGGTAAAGAATGTGAAATTTTTTCTATTCGTTAGAGTTTTACTCAATATCAATATAATTTTTTAACAAATAAATTATTCCAAAATCCACTGTAAGAACAGCATTCAAAGAATTCTTTCATTCAAAGACCAATGATTTTCATAAATCTGGAACAATGAAACTTGTTAATCGTTGAAATTGCTTTGATTAATTATTTTTTGAAGGAACACAATTTATCTGAAGTTTCATATGGACCGACCTAATAAAAGCTTTCATGTTTGACTAAATAACTTTTCACTTGCCATGAAACATTGTACATGAAATATAGCATTAATTTCACTGGAATAATATGAAATTCTTAGAAGTTCATTAATGCAGAAACATTTGATAAAATATAATACAACTATCGTTAAAACATCATAACAATCAGAACGAAAGAAGTCGGTATTTCTTGCATAAAAACTCACTCCAGAAAGCCTGGTTTGTGCTTGTCTTCTTTGTGATCGCCGAACTGGATTTGGCATTGTATTCCAGCGAAAGTACAAGCTTTTTCCTGAGTAACCGGATGCGTGCCATCTAGAATTGCGTCTCTTGCTTGAACGTACAAAAGAGATAATTGCACCGGGTCCCGGCTATCGATATTTTGATCCGAAAAGAAGAACTTTCTCCGCAGCAGCACCGTTTCTGACTCGTCTATTCCTTGCTCCCTCAACGTTTTGCTGGGATCTATCCAATTCACTGAAATACACCAAACGACGTTTCCTCTTCTGATGAAAATTTACAGCCCCAAAAGAATATCAATAGAGAAAAATAAAAACTTGGTAATATCTAATTAGCGTGAAAGTTTCTGAATGATTAATTATCCAAGTAACTTGGAGCAATGATCTACTTGTGATTTAAAAATTTGTATATTCATGTAAAATTTTACTATCTAATTTTATGTAGTGCAATTATGGCAGTTTTCAGACTGATTTCTTTTAGTGAATTTTAAACAAAAAGTGACAAAAGGTCTAAGAGTATAGCAGATATAGTAAATCCTAGATTAACACGTTTGTTAACATTATCCTATGTATTACTTTTGCTTACATTATTGATATCTGTGTTTTTATCAGTTTTACATAATACAGCGCATGCCTGCACTTATGCACGTGTAATATGTATTAAACGAGTCACTCAGAAGCCAAAATGATTAACTTTACTTTTTGAAATTCTTTCAATTTTAGTATCAAAGCACATGCTTGGTGCTTAACTCTTCACAAATACAAGAAATTTAATAAATTCAAGTTGATGGAGTTAGTCACTCTATCTAAGTAAAAAAAATTGTAATAAAATAAAATTATTTGCATAAATTTTTATTTTGAAAACGTGTATCTACGAAAAAATGTCGAAAAGTGGGAGATACTGAGCGATTTTACGATACTTTCACAGGAACATAAAAAATTGTTGAAGGAAAATATAGAAATTGGTACCCGGGTTAAATTGGCAATTTAAAAACGTCGAATGACTAAACGTAGGAGAACTTGTGAATAAAAAATGATGATAAAAGAGTTCCAATGGTTTAACTCTATTTGTGTACCAAAAAAAAAAATTTATCGCATTTCCATCAACGAAAAAACCCCTGTGATCGAGCAACCCCTCTATCTCCCACGCATTTCCTCCTGAACCACGAAACTTTTCTCACTCAAAACGGAAGTTTAATAAGTATGAATTTTCTTTTTTTTTTTTTTGCTCGTGAGCAAATTAAGAACAGGCGCTCACCTTCGTCGTCAGTCTTAAGCTTCTTCCTTAACTGATCCATCTTCGCATCCCGCTCGCCTTTCTCCTCTTTCCTCCTTTTCAGCGTGAGGGTGCCGAAATTGCCCGGCTTCTGGTTCTCCGTCTCCTCTTCGGGCAGCTCGCGCACCAACGAGTACTCGTCGTGGTTCGTGATGCCTATCTTCGTACAAATTACTACCATGAGATTGGCGACGGGTTGACTGTCATCTACCAGCAACGTCTTCAGCGTTCCATCCAGCATGCGCACACGCAGGGTCCGCAGTTTAGGCCGGTACTCGAGCAAATCGCCGTTCCTCAGAATGTAATAATCGAGATTCCGGCCAGGCTCTAGCCAGACTCCCTTCTTCACGTCCTCGTCGGCAAGGAATAATCCGTAGTCCTTTGCTGTCGATGCGAGGAATATGCGGTCATTATGATAGCGATATTGTGGTTTGCATGAAATTCTTGGACACTCGTTAGATTTTTAACTGGCAGCGGAAGTGTACGGTGTTCTGAGGATGCTAAAAATATTGAAACTTTGCAGAAATGTAGATTAACTGACGCTGATAACGGTACCGTTATGTTTCGCGTGAAATTCTTGGACATCCGTTAAATTTTTAGCTGACAACGGAAGTGTATGATAACTGGATAATACAGAAAAATTTGAAATTTCGCAGAAATGTAGTTCAATTGACGTTAATGAAGAATCCATTATGTTTTGCGTGAAATTGTTGGACTCTCGTTAGATTTTTAGCTGACAACGGAAGTGTACGGTATCCTGAGAATGCTAAAAAAAAAATTGAAACTTTGCAGAAATGTAGTTCAATTTACGTTAATTAAGAAATTATTATGCTTTGCATGAAATTCTTGGACATTCGTTAGATTTTTAGCTGACAAGGGAATGCTAAAAACTTTGAAACTTTGTGGAAATGTAGTTCAATTCGTGCTAATAGCGAAATCACTGTTTGGTGAAATTCTTGGAATTTTGAAAAAAATGTGAGTTTTCATATTACCGTGAATAGTTATGAAACCGTACAAGACAACGAAAAAAAGTTACATTCAAACAACCTAAAAAATCAGGATGATATCTCAGTTTGAAGCCATTTTATAGACGGTAAAACCAAAAGCAGAGAACTCTTTCCTAATTTCGGAAGATGGTTCATCGGTTTGGTCGAGCTTCCAAAGGAATTTTAGCCAGTTTGTAATTTGTACTGGCTGTTCGAGATTAAGAAGTTGGTGGTACAGTAGTTTGAGATTTTTGGAAAGTTCCGAAAGCTCCTGGTGAGATTACCTGTAGTGTGTAATTGAGCTGAACCAGTGGAGTTTTTTTTTTTTTTTTAAAGGATAAAGAACTTATTTAATGATTAATGTATACAATGAAGAAGTTTCAAGTTTGATTTATAACTTTTAAATATAAAACAATTATACTATACAAGTTGTGACAATAGTCAAAGAAAGAATTATCTAACTTCCATAATTTTAACTCTCTACAATCCAATGTTTCTTCGTTCGTGAGGTGAAAAAATTATGGTTGAATGCAATGTTTCCTTTTTAATGGGATGAGTAAGAATTAAACAAGAATTAAAGAAGACTTGTTAAATATAGACATATGGTACGGTAACTTCCAAGTCACGTGGCGCTATAGAGGGTTAACATACCGGGTGTCCCACTTTTTTCCAATCAAATTTTATCGAACATTGTCAGTGTGTTCTATGGGAACAAGTAAGAAAAAAATGTCATATAAACATAGGTCGTTTGAAGCTTCGTTAAAAAGTTATAATAAAAAAAAAAAAAAAAAAAAAAAACTCTTACTTCTCCCATCAACGTGTAAAATTAATAATCTACCATAACTTATCTTCCCACGAACGAAGAAACATCGGCTTATACCGGTGATCATTTCACATTATTACCGCGTGTCATAATTATTAGTGGCACCGGTTCATTAATACAAGCTCATTAACATAAGTTCACTAACGTAACTAGGACATCTTCTATAAATGACAGTTCGAGTTACATTTGAACCAGACTTTCCTATAAGAAAAAAGAAACTACTAAAATAATTAAAAAATGATCGTTGCACACACCTAAAATTAAAATGAACAATTTTAAAAATTGAACAGCGATGACTGACTTGAAAATTATTCATAATGAACGAACGATATGAAAACGGAAATAAAGGAAAGCCACCCAAATTGTGTGTGACAATTTGCCAGAAGAAAAAGGATAACCGTTTCAGTCTTATTTACCCATCAATTCTATCTTTATATTCAAAAGACAGGGGAAGAGATAAAAAATGTAAATTTTCGCGTTCGTTAGAATAACGTTGTTGAATATTTTAGGTGCAAGTAGGAGCTTACGTTGGCCCATGTTACCCGCTTCAGCGAGTTTCTCTCTGATAATACGGCAAGCGTCGTAAACGGATGTGCTCGGGTCGAATTGCATCATCTTCGTAGCGTTTTTCTCCGGGATGGAGATACGCAAGGATAGGGTGGCCATTGCGACTGCTTGGGGTGATCTGCGTGCACGAAAACCACCGGAATCACTCGACTGAAAAAGCAAAAATAATACAGTGGTTAATTTTTTTTCTTCTTTACACTTCCAATCCTACACTTCACGGATTAACGACGCTTTTGCGAAGTGCTTTCAAGATCAAGCTAATGCAACCGATTAAAAGGTTGACTTTAATAAAATTTGTAACTTTATTCTTACATTTGAGGTTAGGTTAGGTTAGGAAATGAAATTTAAATTTTTCACCAGTTATACACAACTTGCTTAAATGACAGATGATTTATTTTTTATAAATTTGGTGTTTGATGTGATTGCTGGTTAAGGTTCAAGTATATTAATAAACGAACCATTTTTTGGTATTAGGAAAAATTTAAAACAGTATTGAAAATGGAAACTAAATGGTAAATATTGGTACTAAAATTTCCAGTACTAAGAAATATTTAAAACAGTATTAGAAAGCAGTATTATAGCAATATATTGCTATTGAATAGAAATATTGCTATTAAAATTAAATCATGATGGTGAAAATATCCTAAAACAGTATATTTTAGAGAAAAAAGAAAAAAACGATGCTGTAGATAAAAATAAGAACACAATGATTAAAGATCTTCTCTGAGTATAGGTTCCAATTTTTGTGGAAATGCACTGATTTAAATCGCAAATCAAATTCCTTTATTTGACAAGAATTTACATTTCGTTGCAGCGGATCGATTTTAGAATCAGTATCTGCAGTTGATTTTCTCCAGGTGAAATGAGACAAAGCGTAAAAATCGCGTGACTGGAAGTAATTGAACTGACAATTTCGTTAAATCAACAGGATTTAGTTAAAGAACAGCATCGGAAGAAAGAAACGTAAATAACACTGAGATCGATAAATACAACAAATTAGTAACCTGCATCCTCTTTCCTCCTCTCGTTAACTCTAACAACGTTATTTTACAAAAGTACCGAAATGTAGAAAACTTTAGTGCACCAAAAAGCCAATTTTATTCTGTTAACAAAAATCCTTCAAATATGAAAATAATTTCGTGAAAAATTTGCGCGAATATCAAAATTTTCAAATTCAAAATAAAATAAAATTTTAAATATTCGAAGATAAAAAATATAGAAAAGTTACTTTTTCGACTAAAAACGATTTAATTCAACAATTAAAAGATGCACACACTTCTATTCTCCCCTCTCGTAATTAAATCCGGTAATTGTAATGAACACGAAGCACGCGATCGTCCAACGATTCACGGTGATACAAAGAACGCAAAGTACTATACGCGAATATGCGATTTCTGGTATATACTGGTGAATCAAGTGCAACAAGTTGCGAGGGACCGAGCATTGTGCTTGCTCACGAGTCACCGTTCTATTTATTCGCATATAATTACACATTATCGTAAAACAGTGGATAGTTATCGTCCGTGGCCACACGATACATCGAAACACCTGTTAATTTCGTTTCGTTACACGAATTAATTTTCACGTTAACGTTCGCGAATTAAAGCTTTTTCCTTGTTTTATCGGATCGACTTTTCAGGGTTTGCGACGAGAAAGGGGTAAATTTGGAGGTGTGCAAGCTTTCAGGAACGGTGATTAATTTGTTCAATTATAGTAATCGTTGTAATTTACGTTGAATCTATTCGATTTGCAAAATACTATTTTCATTTATTTTATTTTTAAACTGAAATAAATTGGGCTCAATTTAAGTGTATCTTGCTATTTATCATCATCACTGTTTAGATATTTCGAAACGTGACAGTTGGAAAAGAGAGAATTTTGAAAAATTCGAGATGCAAAATATGAAAATTAGAAATAAATTTTTGCAATTTTCTTAAATGCGCTAAATTAACTTTAACTTTGCATTGAATCATTCTGACATTTATTTAAAGAAAGAGAAGAATATATTTTTCTGAGAATAAAAAATATATGCATTTTGTACACTTGCAGATATGAGATTTAATAATTAGGATGGTTTATTGTAGCTCAAACATTTTCATTTTTTAAACGTTGCAATAGTAACAATTGTAAATTCTACTGTAACAATAGAATACCTAAAAGTAACACTTTAGTATAATTTTACATTTTATACACTTTCAGAAATACAGAAATATTTAGAACAAACAATTTCCAAAACCACAATTTCACCACACTATTTAATTTCAATTTTTTCACAAAACAAAATGCTTGTTTTTCATTCGAAACGATAAAAAGAAATTCAACAGTGATTTCAAAATTTCGTAAAAGCAAAAAAAAAAAAAATACACTTTCCCTCTTCGTTACAAATAACTCCAAAACCAATCGAAAATTTTCAACTCGAGAACGATTCTCATATTCCCGAATCTCAAAGGAGAATCTCCAACAGCTGTCTTCGGCCAATAAATAATACACAGAGGGTAAGAAAGGGGGGAGAAAAGATGTCAGACCTGGCGTTCCATCATTTTGTATCGGTTTTCTGGGAAACCTAGCAGAGCAACGGATTAAAAATGTTCCGCTATCGAATGAAAGAGGAAGGGACTTCTGGAACTTCTGTCTATATATTGATCTTCCGTGGTATGGTACATTTGCCATAGAATTTGCCACAGGGTGCAGTGTGGGATCTAACACAAGCGTAGAACCCACCCCATGTCACAGCAGTATTCGGCTAATAAAAATAAATCGTCACCGGCTCCGAGCTAATTAAATCGATTCGCTAAACGAATCTTCCTCATTTACTCCCCATCGAGTGAAATACAATCCCCCGTCCACCATGCCGCGTTTGCAATGTTTGCATCAACAAGTTACCAATAATCCACGCACGTTTCGTCCAATAAATCAAGCTCGCGAAAAAGTATCCCCGTTAAAAACCTTCTCACTTCCGCAATTTACCAAAAAATAAACATATCACAGCTCTCCTATTTTTTTTTTCAATAGTAACGATTAATTAAAAAGTTCCACGATTACGAAAATCAGATTGCACAGATAATACTTTGAAAAAACAGAAAAAACGAGAAGCTCCGTGTTGGTTAGGTTAAAGTTGATTAATTACGAAGTTCTTGATGAAATAGTTCGGCT